CGCTACAAAAATCATAGTTTTATTAAATTAAATTTAAAATTTAAGATGACCACAATGTAACATTAATCTGGGAAGGTTTATCAAATCTAGTATGGACTCTGGGTGCCATTTTAGAGATTGTTTTGTTTTCATAGCCTGTTCTCCTTCCAGATCTCTGTGGTTTTGAGAATATTGTATTTTCATTACTTTAAATGTGTGTTCAATCACCACTTGGTCTCCTTTTGGATTCAAGCAGACCACATTTTGACAGATGATAAAATTGAAAACTGTAATGATACCAAAACATAAACAAAGACAAGTGAAGTAGTTAACTGTGCAGTGGCAGTGTTTAAGTGAAAATGAAAAATGTTCTTGGTTCCAGAACAGTGTAACAAAAGCTGATGATGAACTCTGGTGAAATATGGAATGTCTCAGTATTACAAATTGTCAGGTTGTGGTGTTTGTAATCCTGCATTGTTTGTCCTTTTGTTTCTGGCTCTCTTTTATCAGAAGTCAAAACAAATGCTGTGATGATTTGTCATCGCTCAAAAATTAACTACAAAGCATTAAATGAAACATGATGATTTGATAAGAGTGTACGCATATAGATGAATTATTAAGGAAATGTGTCATTGTTCAGACTGTGACACTGGTCAAAGATGTTTTAGAATTACATATTCATTAAAAACATACAAATTGGATTTTTGAAATGTGCTCCACATTACATTAGCATCAATAAGCCAACACATTGTGTTTTTCTCTGAATATCGCTGAATCAGGCTCACACAGAAATACACAAAGATCTGAATTCAAACTTTAAGGCAGGGAATGCTTGTAAATGTAAAACTGCTTATGTGCATCATGTTGGATTGTGTCAGTAATCTCTTCATGAAGTATTCATATATATTGTTCAAACACAATGATTATAGCCTTGAAAAAAAGTGTTATTCCAAACAAATAATGTTTAACAGAATTGTGTTCTTAGTTTGAGTTATGTATTGCATTTTTATTAAATCTACAGAAGCACAGATTCATTTTTTTTACATTGCACTCAATTTATTCTCTCACTCACTCTCTTTTGATATCATCTGTTTTGATTCTCACACGAACAGTTCTAATTAACACATGCAGTGGCTTCCTGTGTTTATTAATACAGCATGTTTGAAGACTTTTACACTTACATATTTAGTTTACACTTGAGGACTTTAAAGAGAGTTATAGATAACATATTGGCAACTAGCTTACACTTAAATACA